TGTGAAACTAAACTTAACTCTAACCCTAAACCTAACCCTTACCTTAAGTTAAATCGGCTTTCTGTCGATGCGCTGTTGTAAAGCGCCCTTCTGTCTCCGCGCTGTTGTCGCCGTGTTGATGACGTCGCGGTTTTAGTGACGCAGTTTAGTCGGGCGTGGTTTTGTCGTTTGCCCTTTTGTCGGGTCACGGTGGGCTCCGGGGGGGGGGGGTACGGCCTGGTATGGGTGTACCGGTGGTAGCTGGGAGCAGCAGCCCGCCTGCCCACCTGCGTTCCTTACCGCTTTTTGAGGGAAACGGGCCAATTGTGCACAGCATGTGGCGCCTGCACAACCTCCGCCGAGTAGCTGAGTGCCGCTGGGCGGTGGCGTGCGCATATATGTGCAGCGCGCATACCCGCCGAGGACGCCCGGCCCCATCACAGCTTACCGATTGTGACGGGATCTGGAATCTACTACTGCCGCACGGGTTGCTTGCAGCGAGGGGGGGGGGGGAGAAACGGCAAACCCAGAAGTGTATACCGATGGTTTTCGGCATACGACCGGCCGCTTAGCGACCGTTTAGGGTTGGAAAGGGTGCAGTCAGTGGCAACCTGGGATTTAAAAGACGGGAGTGGAATGCATAAGCATGGAGGGTTGCAGTGGCCCAGAGGCGGAATTCTCGCCTGACAATCTGGAGGCTGTGAGTTCAATCCTGGACAGAGGCAGATATTTTTCTCTCTGAGCGTGAGAATATATCTGCTGAACAAAACTCCTCATTGGCGTCTGGTATAGCATCCGGCCAGTAAACCCTCAGCTCCATTTAGTTGCCCAATTGTCCACCCTGCAAGGACTTATGAGGTCATTAAAAGGAGATGATGGTGAATATAATGCATAAGCATCTCATAAGGCATACTAGGGACCCATAATGTATACATACAGTAGTCCTCGACTTACAACACTTCACTTAGTGACCATTCAGTTAGGATGGCACTGAAAAAAGAGACTTGGGACCATTTTTCCATACTTAACGACCGTTGCAGCATGATTACGTGATCAAAATTCAGACCCTTGGCAACTGACTCATATTTATGACAGTCACAGCGATCCCCTTTTGCAACAATCTGTCAAGCCAAGTCAGTGGGGAAGCTGGATTCACTTAACAACCAGATTTCTAACTTAATTAACTGCAGCGGTTCATGTAACAGCGGTGGAAGGGAGGTCGTAAAACAGGTCCAAATTCACTTCTCCACTCTCTCGGTTAGCCACAGAAATTTTGGGCTCAATTGCGGTCGTAAGTCGAGGACGACCTGTGCTTACAACCTGGGTTCGTAGTTCCGATGGCTAACTTCCTGTCCCGCACAATCTTGGGGGTAGCATTTTTCACCTCTCCGCATTTCCTAGTGTGGATCAACCAATCAGAATAGTGCTGGAAGGGATCCGTGNCGGCTGGCGACTACTCGGGGGAGAGCCTTCTCTGTAGCTGCTCCGGTTCTGTGGAACGATCTACCAGCAGAGATCCGGACCCTTCCCACTCTCTCGGCCTTCCGAAAAGCCACTAAAACCTGGCTGTTCCGGCAGGCCTGGGGTTGCTGATTTTTAAATCAGGTCCAACCCCCAGCTAAGCCAAATGTATGTTGTTTGTTTTTTAAAAACTGTGTATGTTTCTTTCCCCTATGTGTTATTTTATTCTATTTCGTATTTGTAAGCCACCCAGAGTCCTCCGGGATTGGGCGGCATATAAGCTCATTAAATTGCAAATTGCGAATTGTGATCGGACTGAAACCCACCTGAGACTCTTTCTAAAGGAAAAGGTCTCAGTGCTCTATATTGAACACAACAAGACAAACTGGAGGTTCTGGCCCTCCACCCCAAATTCCTCTACGCCATGGACATCAATAAAGTCAGATGAAAAAGAAATAAGGATGGGTGGGGAAGAAATGAAAAATTGGTGTAACTTTGAAGGGGCAATGGAAGATATTGTTTATGTATTACGAAAAAATAACTATAAAGATGGGAAATAATGGAAGAGAAAAATTTGGTTGAAAGTGAATACGAAACAATGATGTAAAAAAGACACTGGAATTAAGAGGATGTAAAAAAGACCCAGACAACTCTTTGTTCCTATAACATGTATAATTTGTTTTAACAAATAAAATCATTGAATGGGGAAAAAAATGAATGAACGAACGAACAAACACTGTTCCACTTGGAGCCTCCAATGTTATAAAATTTAGGAACCTCCAACGTGTGAGAAGCCCCTCCCCCTCCTAGAAGAATGAAATGTTTTGGGGGATATTAAAAGAGGCAGGATATTATATTTCCCTAAAATGGAGAAATGGAGAAACATGCTCTTAAAGACAGAAAGCCAATCGGGTCTTTCTTAATAGCCCCCCCAGCAGATATTTTTGTTCCCATGAAGAAAGATTGGGCCAGCCTAGTCACCAAACCAAAGAACTTCACCTCCAGCGATAGGAATTAAAAATGTACATTCTCCTCCACCCAAATTCTAAGAACGGGAGATACCATTCCGGATGTAATAACATTAACCCAACTACCATTTAGCACAGCTAAAGTTTGAGAGTGTTGCAAAGTGTTCCTGGGGGCTGGGGGGGGGGCAAAAACGAGTTAAAAACAGCCCTCCCCAGCCCCAAGGAGCACTTTTCAGGCATCCCAAACCCTCTGAGCGTCCGTTTTTGCAAAACACGGGATGCCAAAAATGCTGTATTCAGTGTATAAGACNTTTCATGACCCAACTAGGTAACATCATCAATGCTAGAAGGGAGTGGGATTTACAGAGAGGAGGGGGAGGAGGAAGAAGAAGAAGAGGAGGAGGAGGAGGAGGAGGAGGACGACGACGACGACGACGACGACGATGACGACTGTGGATTCCTTAGTAGTCTCTGAGCTTGGGTTATTTTCTTCCACATATTTCATGACCCAACTAGGTAACATCATCAATGCTAGAAGGGAGGGGGTTTGAGGAGTTCAAGAGGAGGGGGGAGGAGGAAGAAGAAGAGGAGGAGAGGGAGGAAGGGGAAGAAGAGAAAGAGGAAAAGGAAAAGGAGGAGGAGGACTCTGGATTCTTTAGTGGTGTCTGAGCTTGAGATATTTCATGACCCACCCAACCTGCTGATGTTACCTGGTTGGGTCACGAAATGTCTGCAAGAAAACAGCCAAGCTCAGAGAGCACAGATGCACAGAAGCTGTCTGGAAACTAATTGCTCGTGTTCCCCTTGATGGCAGCAACGTCGTACCCGTGAATTCACATTCAGACATTACTCATTCATTCGGTCTCCCTACCTGGTGTTGGGGAGGCAGAGGGGGCAGGTTGCCCTTTCGGGGCATCTGTCCAGGCACCGGCGGAGGGCTTCGATCTCTCTCTTCGCTCTTCTTCATGTCCTTAAAGGAGGAAGAGATTCAGCAATGTGTTCCTGGAGGCCAACCTCCCTTTGGTTTCCCTCCGTAGCAGAAGAAATGGCTAACACAAAGAAGAGGAAGTGCCCATGGGTTCCCCAAATCAACATTTCCATTCCCGTGAAGAGGGAGGGCGTTTCTGGAAAGGTCCTTCAAGGTGGAGATCACCTGGTCTTCTGGAATTTGTGGGCCTCAACTACTCCCTTAGATGGGTCCCTATCCCAGTATTTGAGGGGCTGCCCAAAGAGGAGGGTGGTCAGCATTCTCCAAAACACCTCAAAGTATAGGACAAGAAACAATGAATGGAAACATATCAAGAAGAGATTCAACCTGGAATTAAGGAGAAACTTCCTAACAACGAGGACAATTTACCAGTGGAACTGCTTGCCACCAGAAGTTGTGGTTGCTCCATCACTGGAGGTTTTTAAGAAGAGATTGGACAGCCACTTGTCTGAAATTGAATAGGGCTTCCTTCCTGAGCAGGGGGTTGGACTAGAAGACCTCTGAGGTCCTTTCTAGCTCTATTCTGATTAGTTGAAGAGTATGGGTAGTCTTCAAGTTGCAACGATTCATTTAATGACCATTTGAAGATACAACAGCACTGGGGGAAAATGACTTGGGATTATTTTTCACACTTGCGACCGTTGCAGTTACATGAATGTTACATGATCAAAATTTCAGCCACTTGGCAACTGACTTACATTTATGACGGTTGTGGTCGTCCCGGGGTTCTATGATCCCCTTTTGCGACCTTCTGACCAACAAACTCAACAGGGAAGCCAGATGAACTGGACAATCATGGTACTAACTTAACAACTGCAGTGATTCATTTAGCAAGTGTGGCAAGAAAGGTCGTAAAATGAGGAGAAACCCCTCATTTTCGCTTAGCAACAGAAATTTTGGGCTTAATTGTGGCCATAGGTCAAGGATTACCTCTACAGAGATGTCTACTCATGAAGTGAAGGTGAAGACTCATGGCTAACTGGTCCCAGATGCATCAAAATCAGCTTCACTTCAGTGAAGTTGTAATAACACTTAGCTATAATCCTAAACCAAGAAGGTCTTAGCCCCAGAGATTGACCGTAAACCTGGTTTGAGTTGACTGATGGAGAACAAAGCTAGTCAAGACTCAAGATCCTCACCTTTGACTTTTGTTGGGTTTCCTGAAGTTCTCGGGCTTGGCGACGAGTCCGTTCCTCCTCTGCCTTCTTCTTGTTCTCTTCCTCTGCAGTCTTGGCCATGTTTTCAAAACGTTGCCTCAAGTTCCCCATCCCAGCAGAAGCTGTTTCCAATGAGAAGATCAATAGAGGGGCTTCAGAACTGTGAGGAGAAGCTTCCTCCATCTCCAATCAAAAGGAGACGCTGAATTGTCCCTGGTGGGATTGTGTAGGTCCTCTGACTGACTGCTCTTCAGAAAAGTGCTGTGAAACATCTAGTTTCTCGAATTTTAAATATACTTTTTTTTTATTTTCCACTTTCATAACATACAATCACATGTATACTATTACATAGCCCGTATCCTATTGTATTAAGTAGTAATTAAATCAGTTCCACTTGTCATCAACGCCCAGAAAGATAAAAACCCATTATTGGCTCT